CTCTTCTCTGTCCTGTGCCAATCTCACTGTCTCCAACACACTCATCCCGATTGCCCCAGTCACTGAATCAATCCATCTCCCAGAGGGCCTTCCCCTCCTGCGCCTACCCTCCACCCTCCCAAGCATGATGTCTTTCTCCAAGGACTGGTCTCTCCTTACAACATGACCAAAGTATGTCAGATGAAGTCTCAGAATCCTTGCCTCCAAGGAGCAGCCTGGTTTAACCCTCTCCAGAAGAATCTGTTTGTTTTCTTGGCAGTTCATGGCACCCTCAGCACTCTTCAACACCAAAGCTCAAAGGCATAAATTCTCCTTCTGTCCTCCCTGGTCATTGTCCAGTTTTCTGACACATAACAAGTGATTGCAAGACCATGACCTGTACCAGATGCACCTTAGTCTCTAGAGACACACCATTGCTCTTGAGTACTTTAGAGAGGCCCCTAACAACAGACTTTCCCATTGCAATACGTCTTTTAATTTCCTGGCTGCTGGTGCCAAGAGTGTTGATTGTGGAGCCAAGCAGACTAAAGCTGTGAAAAATCTCAATCTCTTCATCATCCATCCTGATGCTGCCAATTGGTCCAGTGGTGAGAATCTTATACATAATAAAATTTTCTAAGATCTGTAGTTAGATTTACAATAATAATAATAACAACAATAATAATAAAAACCCAAAACACAACAAATCCCAACCAAGGCCCACAAATCTTAAAATTTAAATATGAGCTAGAACTCTTTCCAGAGTGTTCTAGCCATAGACCACCCATGAGGAAGCTCTATCTGCCACCTTTGCTCCTTGGTGTTCCTCTACTCCTCATCGTTTGTAACCTGACTTGCCACCAAAGTCAAGTCTTTGTCCACTTATTGTGCTTTGCTTTTTGGACCCAGCTCAGTGAAGGATGAAAAGGCAAACCCAAACCCCACAGTCTTGCTATGACAACTCAAGGCAAACAAAACCAAACTTTCAACAAAGTGTATTTTCTTTATCTTGAGGGGCTACTGAGTCAATTATGACTCATAAAGACCCTTGAACAACTGATAGGAAGTTTGCCCTATCCTGCACCATCATCATGGTCTCTGGTCTCCATCATGCTCAAGTGCAATGCTGCAGTCACTGTGTCAGTTAATGATTGAGATTGTTTCTCTCTTTCACGGACCCTCTCTCTCTACCTTTCCTACCATGATTTCTTTTCCCAAGGACTGGTCCTTCCTGACAACATGCCCAAAGTATGTGTAACCAAGTTTCACCATCCTTGCCTCTAAGGAGCACCCCATTTGCACATCCTCCAAGACACTTTGGAATGTTCTTTTGACAGTCCATGGTATATCCAATATTTTTTGCCAACACCAACACAATTCAAAGCCATCTGTTTCTCCTCTTCCTTATTCATTGTCCAACTTTCACTTGAGGAGTAGTTTGTTGTTGTTAGGTGCCACTTAGTCAACTACAGCTCCTAGTGACCCAAAGGACAACAGATCTGAACCATGCCCTGTGCTGGACAAGGTCTTCATGGTTTCTGATATGCTCAAAACCATTGTTATAGCCACTGCATCAATCAACCTTTTTTGGGGTCTTTCTTTCTCTGACTTATAGCTCTTATCCCAAATATCTCCATTTCAGAATAAGATTCTGATTCTCCATTTACATAGCTCACTGAAATGTTTAATTTTGGTTTTGTTTTATTTACTTTTTTCAAAGAAATGTTCTCTGGTCCCATATTTACGTCTTCATTTTCAGAAATAGGAAAGATTACCAAAGTTTTGTTGGCCTTGAGGTAACAGAGCTTGTAGAATTGTATTTGTGATTGTATCTGCAGTCATATCAGCAGCCCACTTCATGCACATAATTCAGAGCAGGATATGGAGTGGGGCTGCAGAGGCCTGTGTAATTTGCTTTTCCAGGGAAAATTCTAAGTGTCTAGCCATTTCTCTGTTACTGGAAATAAATCTATCTCTGGCAGGTGTGGTTCATAAGAAGTAATGAATTTTTAACTTCTACCTTGATTTTATAAGGAGAAGAAGAGACATATTCATAGTTTGTAGATAAATTTTTCTTCTGGTCTCTAGTCTAATCTATATTAGCTATGTGAGGAAAGAAAAGAACCACCCCAAACCAATTTCTCCATAGCTGATGTATATGTCTATCCACAAAGGGGGGGTGGGGGTGGGGATACAGTTGTACTAATGTTTTTCTGAACTTTCCTCCATTCAGCCATGCTTTGACACTAATAATTATTCCAAGGTCATAAATGTTATGTTAACCTGTCAAAGTAAGCAAGGGAAAGAAGGTTGTTATGCTTTCTGAAAATGTAAAGTGGTGCATAAATGCTTAATGATAAAAACATCTCAATCACCAGATCATCTCCACTTTCCTTCTCTCTCTCTCTCTCTGATGAATTTCTTAAGGAAATTTAATACATGAGTTTATTAATTTTCCACACATAGAAAATTCTATTTCTGACTGGATTTGGATTTGGAAGTAGAAGCTCTCAGAGAGGACAGCCTCTGTCTCTTGGCGATCTGCTCCTGGCATTTCTCTTTGGCCTCCTTCATTCTCTTGGCCAGAAGCTTAGCTTCCTTTGCAGCCTCCTCCTTATTCTTCTTAGTGAGCTGTTTCTTCAGCGAAATGCACTGGTGCTTGTGCTGCAGGACATGTGGAGTAACAAGACACTGAATCTTTGGCCCTGGGTTTCTTACCTTCTTTGTTCAGTGGCTCTCTTAAAACATATTGACGGACATCGTCTTCTTTGGAGAGATTGAAGAGTTTGTGAATTCTGCTGGCTCTCTTGGGCCCCAGTGGTATCAGTCCTGGGATCATCCTTCTCCCCTTTCTTGACAATAACCAAGTTGAGAACACTCAGACTGGCATCCACAAAGCAACTCCATACAGATTTGCACTTCCTCTTTCCAGTTCTCCATGGTCTCTCACAAGAGTGCCCTTTACTCATTAGAAGGTGAATTCAGCCATAGGTCAAAACCTTGTTTGTCGTTTCCACCACTGGTCCAGACAACATAGCCCTTCCACTCCTCACCAAGAGAATCAGCAGCAACTTCTGCGGCCATTCGCTTCTCATAAAATGTACACAGTTTGCACTCATCGTCGTCCACTTCAATGAGTTTTTGGCAGTCAGTGAAAGGGAAAGAGATGTTCAGCTTCATGGGGAAGCAGCCAATTGCCCCAGTGGTGCCACAAAAAGAGAGCCATTGAATTTCTTAAAAGATAATATTTTAATGTGTCTTTGCTGAAGGTTTACATGGCAAGAAAGTTCTCACTCATCAATTTCTAAACAAATTGTTCATTGACATTGGTTTCCTTTTCCCAAAGCACAAACATTCTCATTATTTCCATTAATTTCATTTCCTTGTCCTCTTACCTTCTCATTTTTGTGTGTGTGTGTGTTCATATATCATTTATTATTTCTTTAGAATACATACTTAGTAGTGTCATTTTTTAAGTAAATCTTATTTCCACTTCCAGCTTCCCCCTACCCGCACTTCCAGCTTTTTTTCTTTTTAAATTTAGGTTGTTTATTTTTCTTTTCAATGAACATCTACAGAGATTTTGGGATTCCATTCATTCATTGTTGCACCCTTCTCCCCGCACAAACCTCTCCCCCCTCTCCCCCGTTTGCTCCTCTCCTTGAAAAGCAAAAGAAAAACTCCCTCATTGGTACACAATCCCCCCCACACCTCCCAAAACCCCACCCACTACCCCCAAATATAATCCACTCTGCAACCCTCATTGCATACTCCTACGATAAAAATAATGCCCTAAAATATAATACTTTTAAACTATTCTCTCCCCCATAGACTTCAATGCCGTAAACATATTTCATCCAGTTTCATTTTTGTTTTAAAGTACGTATTAAGTGTTTGGCCTCATTTAGATGAGTTCTCAAAGGCAAATAATCTTTACTGGTGATAGCCATTACTCTATCAACCATTTTTAAATTTGGGTGCAAGATGACCTCAACAGTTTGTTTTGGTTCAAAGTTTGAAGAGTGTCTCAGGGTGGGAAATCATTGCAGAAATTGCCCCAAATTCAACCAGTCCATTCAGTCTGTTTTTCTGTTTATTTTGGAGAATTTGAGGGTTTGCTCCACATTTCCTCTCATTGTATCACAGTTAAACTATTAAAACAGCTGAGAGCGGTAACTGGGCACCATCTCTATCGTTGAGTCTCTACGTAACTCAACTCACCCATTGCCATGAGTTGACTCATAGCTGACCCTCCATTGGGTTTTTGAGGCTTTAAAGCACATAGAAGAAAATTGTTAGTCTTTCTCCTGAAGAGTCACTGGTGGATTCAAATTGCCAGAGAAGTGCAGCCTTTGGATTAGCAGTATAATACACCAATGAGTGAAGACCAGATAAGATGTGGGAAGATATCAAGAATATCATCCAGGAAGAATGCAGAGAGTCTTTACAAAGACAGGGGAGGAAGAAAAGACCAAGATGGATGTCAGAAGAGACTCTAACTATTGCAATAGAATGCCAAGATGTCAAAGCAAAGGGAAGAAATCAAGATATTAAGGAGTTGAACAGAAGGTTTCAAAGGGCATCACGGGAAGGCAAAGGAAAATATTGAAATATGCAAAGAGCTGGGGTTAGAAAATCAAAGGGGCTGAATTCATTCAGCATTTCTTTTTTTAAAAATAAAAGTATTTAATGCTGCCAAAAGGTATAAAAGTACAGTAGGAATGGCAGTAGAATACAAAGTAGTTTCCTTTCACTTCTTTCTTTTACATCTTTCTACATTTCATACACACATGTAAAAATAAACCAAATTAGATTAGCAAAGTTTTCTGCTGGTGGGTGTTCTTCATTCCCTGGATATAAAGTTTACTTTGTAAACAGACAGTTGTAAGGCAATCTAAAGATCTATCAGCCTCACTTTAGTTTCCAGAGTGGCCATCATGTCTTGCTTGCACATCAATGGTTCAAAATTTATAGATGGAGTATATTCTTATAGATGCAGAATATTCTTATGTCATGAACAATTAGGTGTCTGTCAATCTTGGCCTTTTTCTTTTTCATTCAGTCTCATTTGGCCTCTGTCTCATCTGTTGAACCTTCTGAGCTGTGTTAGCTTTTCTGTCTTCTCGGATACGTTTCCGGAGAATACTCTCACTCTTTTCCTCTACTGTATCCTGCATTTTAGAGGGCAATCCTGTAAACTGATCACTCACAAATTTTCCTTCTTCTAAGCCTAATTTGTTCCCATTGTATTTTTCAGTCATTATTTTGATTGATGAATGATCAAAAGCAGGAGATAAATCTTCTTTAGAAAGTTCTCTCCATTGTTTCTGTATATTTGAATCTCCCTTTATATACTTGGCTCCTTCTATTATAGCCATATACGAGAATCTCAGTTGATCTGCTGTCTGAATAAGTCCCATCCGATACTTTCTCATATTCAGTAACACTTGTTTAATGTTAATATCATTTCCTTTTTCCATCAAAATAAGACAGGTGTCTACTAAGAAAAAAGTGCCAGATCGCCCAATACCAGGACTGCAGTGGACTACCACGGGCCCATGCTCAGGGTTCAAGGAGCCAGATTCTCGTACTTTAAATAGGAAATTGAGAAATGAAGCTGGTGATTCAGGAACTCCAAAATCTGGCCAGGTGGTATAATGAAAGTGAGATATTGTTCTGGTTTCACCACTATTGTTATTTTCTAATTGTAGTACAAGTACTGTGTAGTATGATTTCACATCTTCTGATAAGAACTTCACACTGAATCCTGTTTCTTTAAACAGCATCTCTTGGTCGTCTTTTGTTGGCCAGTACTGTGCACATTTAACTGCTTCTTTCTCCACGACTCGGTTTAACATGACAACTGCTTTGGTCTTTTGCTGCCAAGCCATGAGCCAGAAATGACAAC